CTTCTTTTAGAATGCCAAACACATTTTTGCTTAACCGACAATCCCATTTAAAAAAATGCGCTTTGGATGTGACTCTTTAAATCACCTTAAGCGATTCAGGATGACTAACTTCCTTTTCAGCAATTTCTCATAGTCTCTAAGGCTAGTTACATGAAAAATGAGCAATTCTTGCTGTTAACGCACTATATCCACTGGTGTCACACCCCGAAGAGCCATCAAACGGCCAGAATGATCCGATTTTGCCTCACCTTCTCATTACCTGTACCGTTGGTAGCACCTACCTAACCTCTATCGATCTCCCCTGTATGTCGGGGTCGTCTTCTGGTTGGCTCAAATGAAGAAGCTCTGCTTTACACAAACACACGCACACACAGTCCCTCTCTCATGTGCATATACACACAGACACACGAAGTGAAAGCAGTGCCTGAACCCAACGACTGTACAACTAAGCCTGGCAGTGGGCTCGGACTGAGGAGGGGAGTTAAAATGGAGAAAATAGGCAACTCGAGCCCAGCCGAATGGCTCACCTGACTTCCCGGATCCGCTCATCCCGACCACCGAGACGTTGATGAAGGGGCAAATGTTGGCATAGTTTTTCGAGTAGAGCTTTTGCGGCATTCTCGTGCGACGGCGAGCCGCGGCTTGGCAAGCACAGCCTCACGGCCAGGCTCGGTTTGGTGTCTGGCTCGGCATGCGCCGTCAGATCGGTCCGAAGCGAGTGTGAGCAAGCCGGGGCGAACCTGAGCCGGTCAGGCCCGCCAGTACGACCTGTCTGTGCCGCCGCCTGATTGGTGGACAATCCCAACAGTTCGTATCGATCTATGGGCACAGTGAACAGGCGCAATTCTGACTGGCTGGAGGGCAGCATCAATTGTAACTACCGGTCGAATCGCCACTGCAGCCCACGTCTTCGCAGGTCGTCTTCTCCTCTCACGATTAGCCCGTCGCAGTCCTGCCCAAAGCGAGGCGGGCTCCGGATACCCTTGCTATTTGAGCCGGCCCTGGAACACACACACACACACTCACGTGCATAGACATGCACACACCGGTGGGGCACAGAAACGGACCAGTAGGTACGGCGAATGGCAAGAGTAAATGGTCAAATTCAGCCGCTCTGGATGGTAGGCAAAGACGTGCTGGCGCGATAAAGAGGCTGACTTCTGAATAATCTCTAAATAAATTTATTATTGTTAGAGGGACTTTCAGTTCGCATGAAAGTGAATGAAGAAGAGATTCGTTGAGGACGGATGAATCTCGTTGTACTACAGTCGTTCGGCTTGTATACGATATCCACGTTGACGCAATCCACAAGATATGAATGAATAGATTGGTTCTTTAATATCACCAGAAGATGACGGTAGAGTTGCGCTGTTCTGTGGCCTTTTAGCTTCAATACAAGGCTTAGGTTGAAGCAGTTTACAAGGCATCCTCCGTCACATGTTAGAAAGAGCCCATTTTTTTTAATAGTCTCATGAAAACAAGAGAAGACTAAATCAACAATACTTGAATGACAAGGTTATGTGAAACTCAGTGTATACATAAGGCCGAATCCTCTTAAGCGGCTAAGAATGAAGAAAGCTTATGTGAAAGATGGCTAACTGAATTTTGCACAGCCCTGCCTTCTCATCCAGTCTAGATGACGTCTGGACCCTTTCAGCCCCCACAACAGAATAGGACTCTGATAAGCCAATCCACCCTGATGAAGATACATTTAGGGGTGCAAAGCTCAGTGAAATGCTAGGGCATTTTGAGTTTTATTGTAGCAAAAATTCAACAATCAGTCCCTTTTCGTTTTATGCAACCTAGGGTGAATACAATTCTTATTAAAAATATGCTGAAATTATTTTCATTAGTTAATCAGCAAATGGTGGATAATGAGACTTGCAAGTCAGTCCCGAAGAAGTGTAGATGTACACTTAAATTAAAGTTGACTATAGAGGCTTTGGGGCTAATGTTAGATCAACACCGTGGATTATAAGAAGATCAAGGTTAGACCAATTATGAGATTGATAAAATTATTAACTCAATACATTTTATCTTAAATGGAAAATTGTCTGAGCAAATT